TGACCTCATTTTGGTTTACAATATTTATTGCAATAATTTATTAGTTTAATAGGCCATTAACGGCGGTTGTTTGTAATGAGGAATTATGCCTTATTGCTATAAAAGTACCAAGTTAGGTCGACTGTTATTCATCCTTTTTCTCGGACTAATCTCATTACATGTTGGCCGCGGCTGCAGATGGCACTTCAAACCTGCGGAAGGATTTATACAGCGGCTGAAGGCCAACTCCTGCTTGACGGATACGACTTTAGTCTGAGGCATCGGTAGTCGGGTTTTAGCCTCGATTCAGGCTGTGGTTTCTAATCATTGTTTTAAACCATAGTAGTTATCTCTTGCCATTTTTGTCAAGATGGGATTTACTGACGTCATGACCACATGATGATCATTCTCCACTCGGCTCCCAACAATGTATACCGATACTACAGGCAGCTCTACCATTCCATTATCAGCCTTAAAAAAATTACCACTATTAATTTTACAGTTATTCTGTTTAGTTAAAACGTTATACTTTATGCTTTTATTTGGTCCAGTTAATGATTTTTTATGTTTCCCATTTGACATTCCTGTTGAATGTCAAGATTACGGTTCGTAGGTGTTTATCGTCTCTATATGTATATTTTACGTCATTATTTAATGTCTCTAATGACCACATCTGCGATTATATCCGTGAAGGCATAAATAAATAACAGTTGCTTGCTTGAATTATAGTAATATCAAATTCATGAAGGCGTTATTTATTTATTAGACTTTTATAGTTCTTTCCCTTAGTTCCACAGATTATAATTTATCTGATTTATTAAAAAAAATAATCTAATATGCCTATTATTATGAGGGATGTCCATTAGATATCTAATATTTAGTAGTCACGCAGAAGCTGCTCTGAGTAATGGCAGCCAACAAAATTAGGGGTAACTCACCAATATTAATGGTACTTCGGATACTTGAGCAATATTTATATCTTCCTTTATAGGCTACATTTCAAAATTACTAACAATAACTACTAGGATGGACGTAGTAATTTGTAGTTTATGTTTTTATAACCATCTAAATGATCTTTTGGTATGTAAATAAAATTAAAAAAATGCAATATAAATGAAAATTGTTTATAATCATCTAAATAACATGTCATGCTCACTAAAATGTCCAGACATGTGGCGGCGTGATGGGCCGGGTCATTGGGCTCCCTAAAATATGGTGGCTGTGATGGCTGGCTCATATGTCATACTCGTGAACGAGTGCTGCTTGTAGGGCCTGGTCTGACTAATCACTACGACTGATTTAATCTTATTGTGTCTTTCATATTTGACCCTAATAAATTAGTGCTAGTTGGTAGATTGTATTCACATATTTCGACTTAAAAATGTAAAGTTACAACAATTATTTAAAAGAGCAACACGCAAATTTCTTGATCATTCTCCATGTGATGAGACAATTTTCGACGGTATAGTAAAATACGGATAACCATGACTATTCAAAAGTGCCTAAATTAAGTTTATTTGAATGAAGGATTTTCTAATCTATTCTATTCTAATCTTTTGGCTTATGAAATAAACAAATACAAAATATGAAGTGGCAAATTAACTGACGGCCAATCGTATTACATGTTATAACCATCGCTTATATACACGAGCAGCACCCAGCACTTCACGACATTATGTGATAGCCGTGGACTAAGATATAATGTCATGTAGGATATATCCTTATAATTTCACTCTTGAACCGAAACACAGCTGAGAAACCAAGCTGTTCGGTGACTGAAATACGATTAGGTGAGTAATGCCCACTCAAACAACTTTGTGTTACAAAGTCAACCACAGTAAAACGTAAAGTGTAATATATTGTAAAGACAATTTTTCTTATATATGTATAAAATTCTCGTGTCACAATGTTAGTTACCATACTCCTCCAAATCGGCTTGAATGATTTTTATGAAATTTTATATGTATATATGTATATTCAGTAGGTCTGAGAATCGGCCACTATCTATTTTTCATACTCCTAAGTGATAAGCTTTGTCCACCCCTAACATATTTTTATTTATTGGACAAAATTTTTATTAAAAAAAATAGTGAAATATATACAGAGTATATTCCTTAAACTCGTTTTGAAAATATAAACCCGTACAAAACATAAACAAAGTTGAGGCTTTATCTCTTTGTTTGGGAATCCTATAAAGTTACCTTCATATTTAATAATGCCCGTATTATCATCATTTGAAAGTAATATCTTTATGAGGTACCGTGCGCAGTGACACGGTGGACCATTGATCACGGCTTCATATTTTGTAAAAGATGGATTATCCGTCTGCTTTATTGTTGTACATCACAATAAGCGAGTAGTAGTCCTTTGTGTTGCGGGAAACTGGTCAAGCGCACGTTGGACTTAATTTCAGATACCGTATATGAAATCTTTCTGAACTTATAAAGCAGACAGATTACATTTTTTTATTTAATGGATAAATAAAAAATTAAGCGAATTAAAAAAAAGCCAGTATTTTATTAAAAAAAAAATATAGCTCTCTACAATTGTCTGGTTTTTAAACTGTCTAACTGGAAAAAAATGGTTATAATTTATATTGTTTGTATAATTCCATCTTTAGTTGTAATGTTTAATTAATGTCGATTTTAAATATATGTTGTTATGAATCTACTTTAAGACAATATTATTCAATTATAAATATTGTTTCTTATTGAAATGAAAGTATACATATGTCAATACATATTTATTAGGATTTTAAGAAGATTAGAAAAAATTAAGATGTTTGCATTAGGAACGTACGTAAACCATTATTCTCCATTTAAGATTATTTCTGTTTCAACAAAAAGAAAACATAAAGCAGTTTTCAAACGATAATGTGACCATTTTCATAGTAAATTATTAGAATTTATAGTGCTCTCAGTTCTAGAAAGGCAGTTATGAGTGATATACGAGGTAATTTCCTCTTGAAACGCATCTTAAAAGCTCCTATAACGCCTGGGTACACTTGAAAAACTTGGAATATCTTTGGGACCTGCCGATAATAGCTTGCTCTTGTCCATATTTCAGTTGCTACTATATAAATATTTTATATAAATTCATATTAAAAAAATGTATTTGTTCTTAGTCAATTTATTTTTCATTATTATTTGGAATGATAATGTTTTGATAGCGCGTTTGTTTTTTTTTTCGGTTAAGTCTTAGTGCGTTATCAGTTCAACCAATTGTCATTTGAGGGAGAGAAAGACAAAGGCCCTTGTTTATCTCAATCAATAAATTCCTATTGCGACGACAAAGTCACGACTAAAAACTAATTAATATATTGGTAGTACATTTAAGTTTTTGTTATATATTTTCCTTTTTGGATATTTTCATTTTATAGTAAATATTGTTTAAATTTAATAATTTATATTTTTTTCACAGTTATACTCTAAAAGTTATGGTATTCACGATAATATAATAAAATATAGCGATAAATCTACTTTTTTTCTAGTTCGTTAATTCATAACAAATATATGCACATAACAATACATGTCAACATAATATTGATAAAAAATAAATTTATCACTACAAAAAACAATTTTCAAATGGCTGTTGATTAAAAATTATACTAATATTAATACCAATTACTTAAGAAAGTTTAATATACTATGCTTCTTCTGAGAATGGACCGGAAATATCAAGTCTAATGTTATGACTACGGTGCCATAAACAGAACACACGTACACAAACATATCACCTACAGCTATATATATATATATATATATATATATATATATATATATACAGTATTCAGCTCCTAAGAATAAAATTATTTTTGTATCATCATTCTGTTTACTTTAAGATTGGTTTACTACTTAGACTTTAGGTTAGTTAGGTTTTACAGATATTCCGAATAGAAAATATGGATATAGGTTTAAAATGATTAAAAATATAAAATATAAACATGCCTACGAAACATAAACTTGCACTAGATCCAGCTGTTACAAAAATAATTGCCTTACGTTAAACAAAATAACGTTTGCATAAAATTGCGTAACCATTACTTTAATGTTTAATATGGGATATTATGCCACTTTCCGCCACCTCCTTCTGTTATATAACTATCTCGGAGAAGGAGCTCTCCGCCAGCCACGATCTCTCGATACTCACCAAACTCCGAACTACATTCGGCAATGAGAGATCGTTCCCCTCTATTCATTCGAAGACACGGCGGCCATCCATGAACGCTGGATACTCTTCCAACCTATGTTATGCCGTGTCCTCAACGCCTCCGCATTTGTGGCAAATGGTCGTTGGATCCTTCCTCGGCTATATGACAGAGGTACCGCCCGAAGCAACCATGCCCGGACAATATCTGTGTCATGCGGAACATCAGTGAGGGACGGACAGCCTCGACGGCCCTAAGGCCGGCAAAATTTATATCCCCTAACAAAATTAATTTTATATAATAATTTTTTAAACCTATTACAAATTGTTACATATACTCGATTCTGATGTTATTCGTGTAAAGTATGCGCCAACACTTCTAAAACTGTTATACGAACTGTTAATTGCTCTATGGTTATAAATTTCAAAGGATGACTTCTGCAAGTTATCTACGGAGATAATAGCTTACCTTGCTATTATTGCGTTATACTAAACACCTTTATTAATGCTGATAATTTGTATAACGGGGTTGCGCTGAGCTATTTAATTAATATAAATGGGCATACTGTACAGCCTCTGTAATTAATTTGATGTAATAATTTGTATATATTTTAATGTCTATAAAATGTCTATTATATAAAAAATAACAGGTGTAAAAAGTATAATAATTATTATGAGTATTACATTTGCTTATGTATTATTATGCTTTACATTTGAAACATTGATTAGACATGTTATACTTTTTATTATGCATAGGCAAGGGAAACAGCCTCATACAGCCATTAAACCTTTATTACAAAAAAACCATTATTGTTGCATTTTTATTCAAGATACATGGTATTATTATTGTAATTAAATTGTGTTTTTATTTACAGGTACTGAAAGGAGCTTGAAAAAAGGTATTAGTAATGTAATATGTAAAGTTAATAATCAGTTTACAATTAACTTCGTATAAGAGGAGCACAGATTTTAATTTTGATTTATTTTTTTATGTATATTATTCTATACCTTCTTTAATTCCGCGCCAATAATACTTCTCACTGTCTACTCAATCCTACAACATGACACCGAAGGATCAGCTTTTCAATAAAATCGAAATGTTCATTGTGAAATACTTATTGAGTAAAAGCTAAAGTAAATATTGCAAAGATTACTTTGGGAGACGACCGCATTCTATTGAATACACGTTATAAAAAATAGTAAGAAACTGGTTTAAAAAACTTACTAGTCGAGTTGCTTTTTAGTTCATTTCACTCATCTGTAGTAGCTAGGCGAACTGGACAATAGAGCTAGTGATTAAAAAATAAATTAACGTCCAAAAGTGGCAAAAACATTCTATAGGCAATATCGATTTTTGCTTTCAAATAATAAGGGTTTACGTCCACTACACTGGTAGGTGCAATACATTTATTACGTTGTATCAAATACATCTCTGAAATGTTTATTCATGGGGTTGCTTTTCAGAATATTTCGCTGACTACTTGCTAAGCAATTCAACCACACCGTTACAGTATCAAATGCTCTGCTGAATAGAATCGTTCCCTTTTAATAGAATCGCAAATCTGCTGTCAGACACTGCAACCACATAAAAAATACTGCTTTTATCCACCCTTCATTCCTGAGGCAATTGGCTCAAATAGTAATGGTCTAAGTTATTTTATATATTTTATAAGAAATATGTCCTTTTTTCTTTTTTACGATCCTAGATGTTATTGGATTATGTATTTAAGAACAATACTGCTATCACTTCTTGGCGGTTACTGGTTATTTCGTCATAAAATATATGAAATAACCATAATATGTAAATTTATAAATCGCACATGGATTAATGTTAAATCTGAATTAAGTAAGAACCAAACTTCATTGCTGAGGAAACTGGCTCAAATATTAAAGATACGTTATATGAAATATCTGCTCTCGTCGGTCATTTCAGAATGACGTTTATAGGTTACATAATATGTACATATTATGTTACATATAGACGTCATGCGTATACATGTATTTATAAATGCCACATTGGTTGCGCACGAAATCCTGAGTCTTTCTTCTTACTTCATTCTGTATTCTGTACACAAGTGAAATCACAGAATACAGAATTGAGTAAAAAGAAAGATTTTACAGCATAAGAAATTACTTAGGACACCACTATCGCTAACGCGCACAAATAATTCATTGTGCAAAGAGCACTTCTTGTAAGAAATACGATCCTTACACCCAGCCAAATCATGTGCGATTTAGAAATATATATATATAATTTCTAACATATAAACGTTATCATTATTACATAACAAATAACACCTAATGCCTTAACCCATACTATAAATAATTGTTCAGAATGCGATTTCACGTAAGGCAGCCGGCATACTGTGGTATTTGTCAATGTACCGAAAGAGGGGGGGGGGGGGGTTGTATGGGAGTTATTTTTCTGGATCTGAAGGCGTAACACCGTATGTGTTTAAGTACTTTGTGTAGTCTGTGGTAGTATTAATAGTTCTGCTTGTCAGTGTCTCTTTATAGGTATCTGTTAATATTGATCATCACTTTGCCCGCTATTTTCTTATCTAAAGTTAATACAAAATCAAAAAATATTCATGACAATGAAATTCTAACCGAGTTAAAGCATCATAAGCCAAAACAACTATTATCTGTATAAAATTTAATGAATTTTTTTACAAATGTATTGCTAAAGGTTTAACTTGAAATATAAGCTATATTTTACCACCGGAAAATATCTTGTTTCGCAGGGTTGGTTACTAGTTTAGAAAAATATTGTGGCATGTAGCAAATATAAAGAGGTCTCTTTTATGTTTGTAAAAAAAAGTGCCTGAATAATTCAGAGAACAGAAAAGAAATGGCCATTAAAAATATTAGTCAATCCAGCTCGATTTCTTTTTAATAATTCATATTTATGCAAACTCGACCTTTTCGCAGTAATAAGGTTTAGAGGCTGTATTCTCTGTAATGTTCCGTCGGATTTTAAAAAGACTTTATGAAATCCTGCCTTTTTTTTCTCTTTTTTATGGCTAATAATACAGTCAGTTTTTTGTGACTTTGGCATGTCACTTGGCTTGTTCAAATCCTTAAAATAATTTATGTTCTGTATTATCTAACAGCTATAATTAAAACATATTCTTCTTTTTCTTTGTCGATTCCTCGAGACTGATGGTGGTCTGGTCGTGACCGCCAGGAATGCTTCTTCCAACCAACACATATTAAAACATATTAAAATAATCGGTTTTTAAATTATGTGTATATATTGACAGACGACAGATAATAGACAATACGTAATATGTTACAATTGAGGATTATTAACTAGTAATAATATACATTCACGATTATTATCCCAGATGGTATAGTCAGAGGCATAATCTATATGTCGACGTCATTGTGAAAGTCTTAACACACTACATATAATTAACGTGGCAGGAAGTAAGCGTACTGCTATCTATCAGATTAATTAGGTTTGATATCGGTGTTTCCATCACTGGACAGTAAGCCGGATAATGAATAATAGTAATAAATAAAGACATTTTTTTTGGTTAGTCAGCTTCAAACCCACGACCTTTCGGCGAAACTCGGGGTAGCAACCACTAAGCCACGACGGTTTTAAGCAACAGCGTTACATAATAAAGTCGCGGATGATTCATGGAACCTAAGTTTAAAACTAGTTATAGAATAGAATAGAATAGAATAGAAAATCATTTATTCAAATAAACTTAATTTAAGCACTTTTGAATAGTCATAACAATTTGTTTTTTATCTACCACTCGTTCGGAAAGCTGTCTCATCACAAGAAGAACGAGCAAGAAACTTGTGTGTTGCTCTTTTAAATAATCCTTGTAAGTTTACATTTACAAGTCGAAACGTGTGAATACAAACTACCAACAAGCACTAATTTTTTGGGTCAAATATAATCATGCAATAAGATTAAATCAGTCGTAGTGATAAGAGCAGACCAGTCCCTACAAGCAGCACTCGTTCACGAGTATGACGGATGAGCCATCCATCACTGCGACCATATTTTAGGGAGCCCATTGACCCGGCCCACCACGCCGCCACACGTCTGGCCATTTTAGTGAGCATGACTGCTCATTCCAACGACCAAACAGACAAAAATTTTATGGTAGTTACAGTATTCGCACTTTACAAATGCCAATACAAAAGCCGCTACGCTATCATATATCAAGAAAGCAGTATGAAAATTAAAATTATAACGTTGTCCGCAAATAAACTTATTCTTGCTATATATTGCTATCATCTATAAATTCATCTATCTTATAATAGGCTTTTTTACATAACATTTGTTTAATATAAGATTTGAATTGCCTCTGTAAGATTTAGCGTAGACTCTGGCAGTTTATTATAGAATCTTACGCAATTACCATAAAATGAATTACTAACTTTGTGTAGACGGCATTTAGGTAAAATGACTTGTACAGTCTTTAAGTTTCTTGAAACTATCTAAGTTTTTCCTTGTATACATAATATTTTCATAAATGTACTGTGAGGCAACGGTGATTATTTAAATATTCCATTATGGTTTTCTCATGAAAACGTTTTGTTATGCTCCGCTAGCATATAAAATCGATTCCAAGCGGTAAACAGTATGAGTCGAACAACCGGAATCGTCTTTGAAAATTTATGCCCGATCACACTCCAATTGTGGTGCACTCACCCGACCACCCTGTCATACATAAACCATCGTACAGTCTTCTCAATAGCTGATATTCATAGCGTATTTCCTTCCAAGTAATGGTTCATTTGATACTTTATAAAGGTATATACCTGAGCCACCCACAGGACATTGATTGATTGATTAAGTAAATGTATATAAATTTATATATGAACTAGTTTTTGCCTGCGACTTCGTATAACATTTAAGATAATCTGGGTTATGTTCATCCTAGGGATACAATCTATCTTCATGTCATTTTCATGTAAAGCTATTGAGCCGTGAAAAGGTAACAAACAGACTCACACACTTTCGAAAATATAACACATATAATTTTTTATTTATAGATAGATTACATAAGAAATGATTTAAATAAATAGTTTACATTGTTTTCACATATACTTATATATAAGACAAATGAATCTTGTTACTTTTAGTTGGAAAGGAAACTAATATAGTAAAATAATTTTATAAAAAACATATGAGTGTATTAATGTAGATAACAAATATGCCAATAGAATTACCTATTTCAGAAAGATGTTGGCATGTCACATGTTGTGTTGTTTTTTTAATAGGTGATAATGGACTGGTGAACCTCGAGCTACCGGTTTACGCCGGTGGGACACCAGTAGAGGATGATAAGATGAACAAGAAGTCAGATCAGTTAGCCTATTTTGGCAAATGGCAATTTACCACGATGGTTTCCAGGGAAAACTGCGTGGAAGTCAACCGACATGGTACATAGCTTCCAATGGGGTCAACAGTTCACATTACTAACAATCAACTTCCCTAACATTAAATATATTATTAGCGATGGCCCAGTATATGTTACAAACCCTTACTAAGTATTTATGACAAGTATATCTTATTTCGATCAAGTATTTACTCCCGGGACAACTGGCGAAATGTCGACATTAATTCTGTAACAAACTTAAACTAGCTTTGATGTGGAATATGAGCGTAGGCAAGTATTAATTATTAATTTGCGAAGTTTTGCGGAGAAGTTAAACACTAGATGATACGGGCTTCATTATCTGCTTGTTCATTTTGGATGTCATCATAGTATATTTATTATGTTGCCATTAAGGAAAAATAAATGTATCGTAAGTGTCGTAGCTTAGTGGTTGTGGACTTAGAATCAACAAACGTTCTGAGTTAAGGTTCCAATTTTTTTGTGTCAATTTAACAATTCAATAAATCAATATTCATCGAAGCGATGGAGATAGG